TTTCTCCCAGATTCGAGTTTATCGGAAATCTTCCATTTATCTCGATCTTTCCTTTTTCCCGCAGAAATCTTCTATTGATCCTCAAACTTGACATTTATCTTCAAGTTTGACATTTATTTTCTTTCTGCGAGTAAATCGCCAAAACGTCGTTGTATCGTCGGGCTGGATTTTGTTTTAAAGTCGCGAGTGGCTTTTATCGCGTTTTAGGACTTTCCGAGCTGTTTTGCGATAAATTCGTTTTACGACTTTAGACGATATCGTTTCCTGATACGATGCCATTTTTAGATAAGTTTCTCGATTTAATCGTAAAGTTTAGCTACGCTCGTTTCTCGGTTAATCATTGCCGTTTTTTACGATTTCCTCGACGTTTTTATTAAAAACGCGTTTTTTATGATTTTAACAAAAAATCTTGAATAAATCGTATAGTTTAGGCAATGTTCGGTGTTTCGTTTAATCGTGTATGTTTTATACGATTTCCTCGATTTCTTTCCGAGAAAACAAAGTTTTGCGGTTTTTATCGTAAAACTCGAATGATAGGTCGGATCGAGAGGAAACGGGAGGTATTTCGACCGTGGTTTGAACGGCGAACCGAGCCTGACCGGTCCAACTCGCCGGTCGGCGAACTGTCCGGGACGCTCCTAGTTTGCCCAACGGCGAACTAAGCCGGCTTGGCTTAGTTTGCCGTTGGGCGAACTAGCCGGGACGAAGCTAGTACACGTTTTACGGTGGTTTTGGTTTTGCGCGGTTTTTTAAAACGATTCTTCGAGTTTTATAAAACGATTCTTCGAGTTTTAGAAATCGATTCTTCGAGTTTTATAAAACGATTCTTCGAGTTTTATAAAAACGATCCTCGAGTTTTATAAAATGATTCTTCTAGTTTTATAAAACGATTTCTCGAGTTTTATAAAACGATTCTTCGAGTTTTATAAAACGATTCTCGAGTCTTATAAAACGATTCTCGAGTTTTATAGAACGTTTCTTCGAGTTTTATATAAAACAATTCTCGAGTTTTATAAAACGATTCTTCGATTTTTATAAAACGATTCTTCGAGTTTTATAAAACGATTCTCGAGTTTTATAAACCGATTCTTCGATTTTTATAAAATGATTCTCGAGTTTTATAAAACGATTCTTTGAGTTTTATAAAACGATTCTTTGAGTTTTGTAAAACGGTTCTCGAGTTTTATAAAACGATTCTTTGAGTTTTATGAAATGATTCTTTGAGTTTTATAAAACGATTCTCGAGTTTTATAAAATGATTCTCGAGTTTTATAAAACGATTCTTCGAGTTTTATAAAACGATTCTCGAGTTTTATAAAACGATTCTTCGAGTTTCATAAAACGATTCTTCGAGTTTTATAAAATGATTTCTTTTATATTTTTTGCGGAGATTTTTTGCCCTTGATTCCGTCGTGACCGATTTTGACACCAACATGATTCGAGAGCTTAGTTCTCACTGCTCTGAATTTTTCGATATAGACCCGTAATGAGTCTCCCATTCCTTTTCTGATTTTCCAGTGGTCGGCCTCAGAAGCTTGCTTTAGGATATGGGTCAAGTACTGCTTCATGAAGGCGTTGGTGAGCTGGTCGAAATTATCTACTGAGTTCGGCTCGAGGCTAGAAAACCATTCGAGAGTTGTTTCGACTAGGTTTTCGGCGAATGTCTTGCAGTAACCTGCCTCGCATTCTTCTCTCGTAAAGTGAGCTTTCACGATAGCTAGTTGGAAGGCTCTCAAATGATCCTTAGGATCTGAGGTTCCATCATATTCGGGAATCCTAATTTTTTGGGTATCTCTTATATAGGAGCTAGCGATTCTGTCTGTGAATGGGGTCCCACGGGTTTCATCAATTTCGGGAGCTGAGCTAGTTGCTTTGTGGACTTGAGCATTCAACTTTTGGAGAGCTGCGTGAGTTTGCTCCATATATTGGCGGATGGCCTCGGATCCCTCTAGAGGAAGGATAGTTGGGTCGTCGTTATGAACCTGACGGGGAGGTTTCTGTCGGAGTCGAGCCTGGTTATTCTCCCAGGCATTCGGTGGGCTAAATCGCTCACTAGCTCTTGGGTTGTTTTGAGGGATGCGACCAGTAGGGTGAGCTGTGGGATTAGCTTCCGTCCTCTGGTGACCATCCTGATTCGGGATCGCGCTCCCAGTTTGATAAGTCGAAGCTGGTGCTATTCCCCTAGGAAGGAAAGATATTCCTTCTCCGGACCTGAAAACAGGTGGCGGAGGTGGCAAACGTGTGCTCTGCTCAGTAACCCGGTTGGGCGCAGAGCTGGTTGTCGCAACGTTGCTCCCCATAGCGCTGGTTACGGGTGGGTTAAACGTAGGAGCTGTTCCAGCGTGAGGTGTCTGGAGAACAGACTCCTGCCCATCTGGGGCAGTGCTATCAGGGAAAAAATCTAGACGTCCGCGAGGGAACGCGGGATCAGATAACCGATCTCGGAAAGTGATTCCCGAGCCCTGGCGTTGCAGTGGCCGGGTTGTTGCGGACTGAGATCTGGTTACTTCTTTAAACCGTTGCTGCTGAGCAGTTAGATGTTGCAACGTACGCTCATTCTCCTGAGCTCTATCTACCAACTGCACCATAATTCGACGCATCTCAGTTAGCCGAGCCTCTGATTGGTTCAAAGCGGGTTGACGCTGAGGGTTCTCGGGGGCTGTAACCCCAGAGTTGTTTCCACTGGAGGGTCTCGGGTTAGTTATCCCAGTGGTGATCTGATTCGGTTGAGCATTAGCCAGAGGCTGTTTCTCAGATCGGTGATCAGCGGATCGAGGCTCTGGGTCCTGAAGATCCGAGTCTGGGATGTAATAACATTTGTTTCGGGTTAAACTAATCTCGACAGAGGAGACCAACCAAATCACTTTAAGAAGATTCAAATTAGACTAAAGTCTCAAACAAAAATAAGTCTTTTTATTACTCTGTTCTTTTAAGTAATATCGGGTAGATTTCAGCGAAGCTACTCTCTGTGTCATGTCGTTTGTATTATTTTGTAAGTGATTTCCTATATGATGCTGCTTATGTCTGTGTTGATGGTTTTGCTTTGAATTAGTGTTTATGTGGGTTTTGGTTACTCTTGAGTTCTGTTTTCCCACGTATTTGATGTTATCGATGTTTATATTTACCTTTGATTGATTGTTCTCCTACAGTTTTGTGAGTTAAAATAGTTTTATTTTAGGTTATTATCTTCAAGGAATACCACTTGTTTCTCTGTTGTGTTGCTTAAAAGCTGACGAGACAACTCTATTTTGAATATGTCATTCTCTAACTATGCACACGGATTAAGTAAACAATTAATTTTACATATTTCCTATATAAAAACACAATTATCTATACACCTAACCATATTTTAACCAATAGAAAAACTACTTACATAATAAAATTAATAAATTTTGCATTGAAAACCGAAAACAACACTTATTTTGTAACGTAAAAAATTCTCTACAACGACACTTAATATGAAACGGAGGGAGTATTCTTTGGTCTCAGCTTTTGTGTTTACATTGATGCATTATATAGCTTTGGTGCATATCATATAAATATATTAACTATAAGTTCTTTTAACTTATTTCACTGCTTCTCAAGAGATCCAAGAAAAAGGGAGAAAGGCTCAGAGGCGAGGATACATTCTGTACGTACCAGCAATTATATCTAAATTGTTTTGTAATGTAGATATGCCGGTGGTTAAGGAATGGTTTTGTAATTTAACGGTTTAAACAAACGTGATTCTCGGTTAGTTAAAGAAGCAAAACATTGGGTTTTAATGCCAGTGGCATATCTTGGTAAATATTGAGAAAAAGTTTGGACTAAGTACAAAATATACTTCTACTTTAATAGTTTAGATTAGCTTGTGATCTGCACGCCAGAGCGGGTGTATGTTCGATGTAATAATATCTTTTGCATGTTATAAAAACATTGTTATTATTTCATTTTATTGAGACTATACATTGATGTATCATGTTTATTTTGTTGAGTGTGAATTTTTAAACTATGAAATTGTATTCTTGTTATATTGTGTTGAGTTTTTTTGCTTGGTAAATTAAACATGTATAATATTAGAGAATTAAATTGAGATTTGAAAATTTAATTAAAAATATATATAAATTTTTTCATTTAAAAGTTTTTTGAAATAGTTGTTTATATAACTTGAGATTTAAAAGTTTTATTAAATAAGAAAATAAAAATGTTATCATTTAAAACAATGGCATTTGAATTGTTGTTTATATATCTTTGGGTAGACGATCTATTTACCCATGAGAACTATCATATAGCATTAGATCCCCACCGAACTATGACCTCATGCTAGATCTCCACGAATTC